TCAACGAAAGCCATTATTGGAATGTTTGTTATCGAATCCCACTCATAATATGTACAATGTGTCTTAGGTGCTTAGGTTAAGGATATTATCGCATGTTTCACTGGTTTTGGTTATTAGTCTTAACTATTTGAACTATAGATAGGCTCGAATTTCTTTTGTAGACTTTTAAATAAGTAAAAAATATTAGCAAATATACGTGGGATTTATTAATGACAGGCCCAAGCCCACTTCGAAACCACTTCAAGTGTGGAGGCCCAAGTGCACAACTGAGCAAAACGACGCAGCACCATCAATCCCTGCTGCAATCCGTACCTGCAAACAAGACAAAGAGAACATTAACTCTCCCAACGTTAAAGGACAGCAGACAGCTTCTGTAAAAGCAAACTCAAGACCAAAGACAGCNTTATTAATGACAGGCCCAAGCCCACTTCGAAACCACTTCAAGTGTGGAGGCCCAAGTGCACAACTGAGCAAAACGACGCAGCACCATCAATCCCTGCTGCAATCCGTACCTGCAAACAAGACAAAGAGAACATTAACTCTCCCAACGTTAAAGGACAGCAGACAGCTTCTGTAAAAGCAAACTCAAGACCAAAGACAGCTCATGTGATCACAACGGCTAATAGATTCCAAGCCCTATGTAATGAGCTGGCAGAGACTTCCTAAACCCTAGTAGAACTCTCTATATAACCTTTTGTAAGCAATGAACAATGTAAGAGAGTTTATGAAATAAAAAGAAAGTTTTACCTCTTCACCTCTGTTAAGCCTTTGCTTTCATGGTATCAGAGCGCCATGGAAATTGAGCCCTACAAACCACCTTCTCTAAACGTGATACACTGTGTCACAGTCAAACTTACCGAACAAAACTTCATCTTTTGGAAGCGACAATTCCAGTCCTTTCTGAGTGGTCAACGTCTCTATGGATTTGTCACAGGAGAGATGGCTAAACCTGACTCCACCATCATGGCACCTTCCATCACAGGCGTTGCTACTCCCATACCGAACCCAGACCATGACCTCTGGCTTCAGACAGACCAAGTTGTCCAATCCTGGCTTCTTGGGTCCTTGTCTGAAAACCTGCAGGGAATCGTTCTGAACTGCTCCACTTCTTGTGAGATCTGGAAAGCTCTTGAGAAGCACTTCAACAGACCATCAAACTCTCGGATGTTCGAACTGCAGCTCAAGCTTCAAACTTTAAACAAGTCTGACAAGAAGATGGCTGACTATCTTAGTGAGATTAAGAACCTCAGTGACCAACTTGCGTCCATTGGAAACCCTATCACAGAGACTATGAAGATCTTCTCTGCTTTAAGAGGTCTTGGGAGAGACTACGAGCCCATTAAGACGACCATCGAGAACACTATGGATAATGTTCCTTCTCCAACTTTTGAAGACATTACTCCTAAGCTCGTCAGCTTCGATGAACGCCTTCAGAACTATACTTCAAACTCCGAAGTCTCTCCACATCTTGCCTTTTACGCATCTCGTGGAAGAAACTACAGAGGCCGACGCGGAGGTTATCGTGGAAGAGGTTCCTCCTTCTCCACGCGAGGTCGAGGCTTTCACCAACAGATCTCTCGTAACTCAGACTCTGACTCTCGTCCAGTATGTCAGATCTGTGGTAAGCCCGGTCATCCTGCTCTTCGCTGCTACCATCGTTTTGACTTCAGCTATCAGGAGGAAGCTTCTCAAGCCATGGCTGCACTGAGAATCACAGATGTCACCGACTCTGCTGGAGCAGACTGGTACTCCGATAGTGGAGCCACCGCTCACGTCACCAGCTCTTCTCAACACCTTCAGCAGTCGCAGCCATACTACGGTTCTGACACCGTAATGGTAGGAGACAGCAACTTCCTCCCTATCACTCACACTGGATCCTCCTCTGTTGCGACAACCTCAGGTAATCTTCCCCTTAATGATGTGCTTGTCTGCCCTGGTATTGCCAAATCTTTGTTATCTGTGTCAAAAGCTACAACAGATTATCCTTGTTCTTTTAAATTTGATGGCAATGGGGTATATGTTAAGGACAAGCGCACAAAGAGGTTGATGATAAAGGGAAGAAACATTAATGGTCTGTACCTGTTGGAGCCATCTGTACCTGCTTGCACCTTGATCTCCTCTAGACATCATTCAGCTGCTGATGAAGTTTGGCATAGGAGGCTGGGGCATCCAAATAATCAAGTGCTCCATCAGCTTTCTGCATCAAAGTCAATCTCAATAAGTCGAAGTACCAAGAAGATTTGTGAGAGTTGTCAACTTGGGAAAAGCAGTAGATTACCTTTTTTAGCTTCTAGTTTCTCTGCTTCAAGACCTTTAGAGCGTGTCCACTGTGATCTATGGGGTCCTGCACCAATCATGTCCGGTCAGGGTTTTAAATATTATGTAATCTTCATAGATCACTGGTCTAGATACTGTTGGTTCTACCCTCTAAAGAATAAATCAGATTTTTATCCTATCTTCTGCAAATTTCAAACTCTTGTCGAGAATCAATTGCAATCCAAGATAGGTACCTTTCAATGTGATGGGGGAGGAGAGTTTATGAGCTCTTCATTTCTCACCCGTCTTCAGCAACATGGGATTGCTCAGCATGTTTCCTGCCCTCACACTCCTCAGCAAAATGGTTTGGCAGAGAGGAAGCACCGACATGTCACTGAACTTGCTCTCTCAATGTTGTTCGAAAGCAAACTTCCTCACAAATACTGGGTCGAGGCCTTCTTCACTGCCAATTACCTCATCAATCTGTTGCCAAGCTCCTCCCTAGAGACATCAGACAAGAGTCCTCATCAGAAGCTTTACGGAGAAGCACCAGATTACTCAGCCTTACGTATCTTTGGCTGTGCGTGTTTCCCAACACTGAGAGATTACTCTACAAACAAGTTTGATCCACGATCCTTACCTTGTGTCTTTATTGGATACAATGCGTGTTATAAAGGATATCGGTGCCTCTATCCTCCCACTGGGAGAGTTTACATCTCGAGACATGTTGTCTTTGATGAAGGGAACTATCCTTTTGCCGAGAAGTACAAGCATCTTCAACATCAACTCTCAACTCCTCTTATGACTGCTTGGCAACGAAGTTTCCCTCCAGCAAGTCAGTCTACTGCCAACGACAACAACAGAACAAGTCAGGAACCATCAAACTCTGAGCAAACTGTTACAACAGAACAAGTCATACCTCTGTTTAATGAGAGAGACTTTCCTCCTCTGCACCCGAGTAGTGGAACTTTGGTTTCAACGGTCAATGCTCCTTTGTCACTACCAGTTTCTGCTCCGGTCCCACCTCCCCCTATACAAACACAACCAGCCAGTGAGCAAGCTGCGTCTACGTCTTCTCACCCTATGACTACAAGGTCCAAAGCTGGAATTCGCAAACCGAATCCGCGTTATGTTCTCATGACTTCTAAAGTTGCTCATCCAGAACCTAAAACAGTTACAGAAGCTCTAAAAGACAAACAATGGCATGATCCTATGTCTGAAGAGATCAAAAATTGTCATGAAACTGGAACGTGGGATCTCGTTCCGTTTAAAGAAGGAATGCATGTGCTTGGTTGTCGTTGGGTGTTTCGAACTCAACTAAATGCAGATGGCACACTAAAGAAAAGGAGATCTAGACTTGTTGCAAAAGGATATGAGCAGGCTGAGGGAATTGATTACCTTGATACTTACAGTCCTGTGGTCCGCACTGCGACGATCCGACTAGTTCTTCATACGGCTACGGTAATGCAGTGGGAAATTAGGCAATTTGATGTTCAGCATGCGTTCCTCCACGGAGACTTGACTGAAACCGTCTATATGAAGCAGCCTGCTGGGTTTGTCGCCAAGGACCGCCCTAATCATGTATGCCTTCTTCGCAAAGCCCTCTATGGTCTCAAACAAGCTCCCCGCGCCTGGTTTGACAAATTCAGCACATTCCTCTTGGAGTTTGGATTCATTTGCAGCTTCTCTGATCCTTCCATGTTCATCTGCATCAAAGATAAGAACATCATTATTCTCTTACTTTATGTAGATGACATGTTAGTGACTGGAAACAACTCTCAACTGCTTCAAGACCTCCATGATGCTCTAAACACTCAGTTCAAGATGAAAGATCTGGGTCAGCTAAGCTATTTTTTGGGCATTCAGATTCAGCATCATTCGGATGGGTTGTTCATGTCTCAGCAAAAATATGCTGAAGACCTACTTGCAGTGGCTCAAATGGCAGACTGCGCCCCTATGCCTACTCCCTTGCCTCTTGATCTAAATCGGGGACCTCCTAAAGATGATCTATTCCCTAATCCTACCTATTTCCGCAGTCTTGCTGGTAAGTTACAATACCTAACCTTGACTAGACCTGACATACAATATGCTGTGAATTATGTATGTCAGAAAATGCACTCTCCTTCAGTAACTGACTTCAATCATCTCAAGAGGATCCTACGATATGTTAAAGGCACTGTCACGATGGGTGTGTCCTTTTCACGACACACAGATTTCAGTGTAACTGCCTTCAGTGACAGTGACTGGGGAGGCTGTCCTTCTACAAGTAGATCAACTGGTGGATTCTCTACCTACTTGGGGTCTAACATCATATCCTGGTCTTCTAAGAAGCAATCTACAATATCTAAAAGCTCTACAGAAGCAGAATATCGATCCTTATCTGAGACAGCTTCTGAAATTACCTGGCTATGTCTTGTGCTTAAAGATCTCGGAATTCCTCTGCCTTCTACACCTCTGATGCTCTGTGATAATCTCTCCGCGGTGATGCTAGCTGCGAATCCCTCGTTTCACTCCAAGACGAAACACTTCACAAGAGATCATCACTACATCCGTGAGCGTGTCGCTCTAAAAGCTGTCGAAGTCCGACACATCTCCAACAAGTTGCAGGTTGCCGACATCTTCACGAAGTCGCTTGCTCAGGAGCCGTTTTGTCGTCTTCGAGGCAAACTTGGCGTGTGTCTTCCCCCCACGCAAAGTTTGAGGGGGCCTATTAATGACAGGCCCAAGCCCACTTCGAAACCACTTCAAGTGTGGAGGCCCAAGTGCACAACTGAGCAAAACGACGCAGCACCATCAATCCCTGCTGCAATCCGTACCTGCAAACAAGACAAAGAGAACATTAACTCTCCCAACGTTAAAGGACAGCAGACAGCTTCTGTAAAAGCAAACTCAAGACCAAAGACAGCTCATGTGATCACAACGGCTAATAGATTCCAAGCCCTATGTAATGAGCTGGCAGAGACTTCCTAAACCCTAGTAGAACTCTCTATATAACCTTTTGTAAGCAATGAACAATGTAAGAGAGTTTATGAAATAAAAAGAAAGTTTTACCTCTTCACCTCTGTTAAGCCTTTGCTTTCAGNGCAAACTCAAGACCAAAGACAGCTCATGTGATCACAACGGCTAATAGATTCCAAGCCCTATGTAATGAGCTGGCAGAGACTTCCTAAACCCTAGTAGAACTCTCTATATAACCTTTTGTAAGCAATGAACAATGTAAGAGAGTTTATGAAATAAAAAGAAAGTTTTACCTCTTCACCTCTGTTAAGCCTTTGCTTTCAGTAATATCACTATCAGCTGCAGAAAAAGGGGTGTATTAGTTCTGCTTCATGTTTCCTTAAGGGACGGACAATATATGCTTATAACAACAAGAGCTAAAACACAAGAAACTAACATTCAACTTCAGTCCTTTGCATTGACTTTCTCCTCCGACAAAGAACAACTCCTAGAACAAGCAGTATAAATACGGCAATGACAGTTGGAACGGTGATCGCCGCAACAACTCCATATGAGATTCCTTTGCTATCTTCTCATAATCACAGAAAAACAATGTCACATATTTCAACTCTTCTTACAATCATAAATATTCTTCGATTTGAAATCACTTACCGTTATCGGTCGTGCTGGCCTGATCATCTGCAGGAGGAGGAGAAGTCACAGGAGGAGAAAGAGGAGGAGGAGAAGCCACAGGAGGAGGAGGAGAAGCCACCGTGATATTATCAAAGGCCTTGGAGTATTCATACAAGTCCCACCTGAAAAAGCAGCTTGGCCGCATAACAACACCTCCTCGCTTCTGACCGCAGCATGACTTGTAGTCCCTTGCGCTCTGTCGCAGACAGTTACCACAATCACCAGAGGAAAGATCTGGCGTGCATTGCATCACAGCGTATATGTTCTCGAAAGCTACCAAGGGTGCCACATCAGCTTTGTAATAGTTATTACTAGAGGATGGTGTGCGTTTTGCTGTGGAGGCTGCATTTATTATACCACCAACTAAGTCTTCCCATATTCTTGTGAACTCTGTTAGATTTGAGGTGATATCTCCTGTGTTGTAGAACACTCCAGGCATGTACATATTCACAGATCCTAAGAAAGAAGTGTTGGAGTAGCGCACATAGCAGAGCGTGGGGTCACCAGGCCAATCAAACGCGTTTGTTTGGTTAGGACAATTCTTTATCAAACGATCAGATAAGGTCTTGATACAAACAGAACAGTCTTCTGAAGTTGATCCAGGGATGCACATCCCTACTGCATAGACACGGTTAGGTTCTTGTCCTACCGAACCGTTGAAGAAGAGCCGGCTCTCTTGAGACGTGACGTTGGAAGGAAGTGAAGAGAGGATGCGACGTCGGTTTGTGTCGTAGGTACCGTTGGGCCTGAAATTCCCATCATTATCCATACATGTCTGTGCTGAAACCGAAGCAACGCCAAAGCTACTTATTAGGGCAAAACAGAGTATAGAAGAAAACAAACTCATTTGCTTCATAATTTACTTTAAGATTGTAGCAAACGCTATCGCATATGTTTGTTTCTTAATTCTAACAAGCTTTAAACAGCAAAAGGAAAGTTTCCCTGAAATCAGTAATTGACACGGCACGATAAGTCAAAAGTCAACGTCAACTCACTAGAAGTTTTTTCTAATGTTGACCCAGAATCCTGACGACACAGGTGGTATACTAGAAGCCAATGAATAAAAGACAGATGTTGACCGTTACGGATCAAATTTTATTTGTAGGTGTGAGAATAGTAGCGTTGTGTGGAATTGGCTCCCACTTTCAAATTTTGTTTTATTTATGCTTGTCAAGATTTGCGGCATCTTTCACGTGAGTACTTGTTGTCATCTTTATATGTAAATGGAATGGTAAGACAGCTTCTTTTAGTGCTGGAAAGCCTCTAATGTCACGGCTAGCCTAAGACATTAGGTCAAGTGGACCAAAGTGACTCCAAAAAGTCTTCTTGCTCAAATACGCGTTCCAGCCACTACAAGATCATATGATGTTGATGCCCAGCGTTAATCATTATAGACTTTATCTCTGGAGACTAGTAATTTTATCAGCCTAGTTTCTAATGTGACTAAAACCTCAACTAGTCAGTTTTTTTTTTTTTTTAAATACATAAGCTTAAAACAATAAGTAATTATATATTTGAAATCTAGCATAGTATCTGATAATAAACTAAACTACTGAAAAGTTTTTTGTTACAGACCTTACCTCTAAATTGATCTAACCCATTTCTTATCTTTATTCTTTTTGATTCTAAATTTTACTTTCCTTTTTGATTTCTTATTTCTTTTGTATTCTTTCTTCTTATAATAAACCCAGTTAACAGCACCGGAATGCACCCGTCACCTTGGAATCATATTTTTTTTTTTTTTTTGAACTTGTATCCATTAGACACAAAGTGTCTCACATCGGAAGTTGGAAGATATTCTTAGTGATATATAAGATAGATGAGCCAATCCACTTAAAACCAATTGGTTATAGATGGATTGGCTCATCTATCTTATATATCACTAAGAATCCCTTCCAACTTCCGATGTGAGACACTTTGTGTCTAAGGGCAATTCAAGAACAAATATGAAAGCTTCAAGTAAAAAACAAATACTCTGTTTTTATCCTGTTTCATATAATGATTGGCAATGTTTTAAAAACCGGACCGGATACCGACTCGGCGTATTCACTGGTTGACTGGTCAGACCGGTTCAACCGGTCGAACCGGGTTTTTAATTTATTATATATATATGTATATATATATAATCATATATATAAATAGTCTAATGACTAACACCAAGAAATAGTATCATAAAATAAGAAAATAATAACTGAATCTTGAATACATAATGAACTAAATAATGAAATATGAAAATTATAAAAAAGTCTATTGAATAATGATAAAATATCTCAAACTTATTCGGTGGTATCATCCTGAGAGAACGACACTTCATCTTTGTTACCTTGCAAAAAAAAAAAGTGTATGAGTTAAATAATGGACAGCTTGACCATAGTATAGTATAAAAAAAGTGTATCTAACGGTCCGGTCCGAGTTTCAAAACCTTGATGATTGGATATGATCTCCTAATTTTGATATGGAAGATCCTCCAATGTCGAATACTCTTTCTTTTTACTGAAAGGAGAATACTTCAGTCACTTATATAGTTATATATGAATGCTAAGTATTTCTAAACTTAGTTGAGCGATGACAGAGAGAATACATGAAATAAGATTATATAAGCATCACAAAAATTTGCACACAGAGAATCTTCCATCTTTAACAAGGCTCTAAATCAGTAATTTGAAACTTCATTCGCAGACAGTTACCACAATCTCATGAATATATTAATTTTCTTAATAACTAATGCAAATACAATAAAATAAATATATAATAAAAAGTAAAGTTATTGTATTTGAAATGGTTATATAAACATTTAAATATAAGATTAAAGTTAAAAATATATACCATTTATGTTCTAAAACAAATATTTATGTATATAAAATGAAACCAAGCAACCGCGCAATTGCGCGGATCAAAATCTAGTTATAAATTTAAAATCTTTCATGGTATCAGAAAGTTAACATAAGGTTTTATGTTACTCATCGATCTATTAAATTTTTAACAAAGAAAATACACAAAACAAGCATCACTCAAATTTGCACACAAAGAATATTTCCTCTCTTCAACGAGGCTCTAAATCAGAAATCGTCACATCACTACCAGAATAACCAACAGATCTTTGACCTGTGAATTGACTTGAATCGTATCCTTCAGATACCTGATCCAGTTTATTCCTGCTATGAGAGAAATAACTCGGAAGGTGAGGCAATGGTAGAGTGATTGTGTTACTAGTAAGCATCATGATGATAGTTGATAACATTGGACGATCATCTGGATTATCTTGAACACATAAGAGTGCAATATGGATGCATCTAGTGACTTCATTACTCTGATAATTCCTTCCAATGGTCGGATCCACTAGTTCTAGTGGTGACACATTTTTCCAAAGTCTCCAAGCCTATAACAAAAAAAAGAACAAATAGTAACCATTTATCCTCTTATGTTTAAAGATGTTGAATTGTTGAAAATTGAGGCCTTTATGCTCACACTGTTGACCAAGTTTCCAGCAGTACTAGTTTCATCCATCTGGTAGAGACCGCTGTTTTTCTTTCCACTTATAATCTCAAGAACTAAGACTCCAAAACTGTAAATGTCAGATTTCTTGGAGAACTGACCTTGCATTGCATACTCAGGAGACATGTAAGCGCTGACAAATATACAAAGTATGGTTAATACTCACTAGAAAAATAATTGATGAACTTATGGTTTTGTTGTACATTATGAGCATAACTTACTAGGTTCCAGCTATTTGGGTGGTATTGCCCCGAGTTTGGTCCATTTCAAAAATCGACGACAATCCAAAATCTGAAATTTTGGGGTCCATATTGTCATCTAAGAGAATGTTGCTGGCTTTGAGATCACGATGTATGATTGTGAGCTGTGAATCTTGATGAAGATAAAGAATTCCTCGAGCAATCCCTTCGATGATTTTGTACCTGTGAGTCCAACCTAGCTGACTTTGCCTTTCATGGTCTGCTCATACATGTATATTACTAATCAGTTAAAAAAAGCTGAAGAATAATCCTTCAAAAAAGAAAAAAAAATAATTTATTGAAGGGAAACATACCAAATAGGAAATAGTCAAGGCTTTTGTTGGGAGCAAACTCATATATCAAAATCTTTTCCTCTCCCTCCAAACAGAATCCAAGAAGCCTAACCAAGTTCCTGTGTTGAAGTTTTGAAACAAGAGCAGCTTCGTTCTTGAACTCTCTTATCCCTTGTCCTGACATTTTCGACAGTCGCTTCACAGCCACTACAGTTCCATTTGAAAGTGTACCCTACATACATACCATTGAATTAAATAAACATAACCAGTTATTTTCATAATCTATAGTAACTTAGAAAAAAAAATGGAAAACAGAAACCTCTTTACCTTGTAAACCTCTCCAAATCCACCTTCACCCAGCTTATTACTCTTTGAAAACTTGTTGGTTGCAGCTTCAATTGTCTTGAAATCATATTGCGATGAATGTTGAGTTGTAATATCACTATCAGCTGCAAATCAAGGGTGTAATCGTTATGCTTTAGAGACAATATTATGCTTATAACGATAGGAAACAACAAGAGCTAAAACACAAGATACTAACATTCAACTTGAGTTCTTTGGTTTGACTTTCTCCTCCCACAAAGAAAAACTCCTAGAACAAGAAGTATAAAGAAGATAACAACACTTGGAACCGTGATGGCTGGGACAAATCTAGATGAGATTCCTTTGCTACCTTCCCATATAACACAAGAGAAAAACACTGTCATATATTCCAATTAATGCTTCTTGAAATCATATCAATTTTTTGTTGCAAAAATTTACCATTATTGATGGTGTTGTCCTGATTATCTACAAGTTGTGGCACAGCCACAGGAGGAAGAGAAGAAGGAGGAGAAACCACCGTAAAATTAACAAAAGAAGCCGTTGAGTATGAATACAACTCCCACCGGAAAAAGCAGACTGGTCTCAAAATCCGAGTTCCTTGCTTCTGACTACAGCAAGAGTTGAAGTCATTTGCGCTCTCTCGCAGACACTTATCACAATCACGAGAAGAAACATCCGGCGTGCATTGCATCAAAGCATATATATTCTGAGAATTTGCCAAGGCTGCACTGTTAGCTGTATAGTAGTTACTACTAGAGAAAGGTGTGTTTCTTGCTGTGGAGGCACCAACAATCATACTAGCAACCAAATCTTCCCATGTTTTCTTGAATTCTGTTTTATTCGTGGATACATCTGCACCGTTGGTAACCATACTACGAGGAGTTAGATCACCAGATCCTGAGAAAGAAGTGTTGGCGTAGCGGACAAAGCAGAGCGTGGGATCACCTAGCCATGTAAACGCGCTTGTTTGGTTAGGACAACTCTTTATCAAACCATCAGACGCGAGCTTGATACAATTGGAACAGTCTTGTGGTGTTGATCCAGGGATGCACATCCCTGTTGCGTAGACACGGTTTGGTTCTTGTCCTATGGAACCGTTGAAGAAGAGGCCTTGTTGAGACGTGACGTTGGAAGGAAGTGAAGAGAGGATGAGACGGAGATTTGCGTCGTAAGGAGCGTTTGGACTGAAATGATGATTGTCCATACATACGTTTTGTGCTGAAACAAAAGTAATGCAAAACGTTATTATGAGGACAAAACAGAGGATTGAAAAGAAACATTTCTGCTTCATAATTTACTTAAAAGATTGTAGCAAAAGCAAAATGTTTTTAAGTATTCACGCATATGTTTCGCTCTTTACCAGGTTAAATAGCAAATGGAAGTTTCGCTGATAACATTGATCCTAGAACTTTCAGAAACGGCACATGATAAGTCAAAAAGTCAAAGTCTTGTTCTTTTAACCCTTACTGCACTTTCAACAAGAACCGCTCCTTCTCTTCTCTTCTATCCTAATAATAAGATATACGCAGGAATTTAAAACAGAAAAAAAAAAAAAAAAAACAGGTTAGATTTAAGACTTGTACGTGGGATAAACTCATACATGCACAAACGACCCGAAGAGTTGAACAAGACTTTTGTGTGCAGAGGGTGCTTCCTATTGCCTTGTCCTAAATGTATGGGCAAATTTGTGTATAATTCACAAATCTAACTCGAAAACAAAAATATTAAAAAGCTTAACTCGATCGATGAGACAAATGCTTGTTTTAAGATTTGTATATTGAGTGTGTGAACGATTCTTAAACGTGTAATTATTATACATCTCAAAATCTGAAATTATTCAAAATCCAATGTTCCAGTCAAACGAATGTTGATTTTGCAATGAGATTTAAGTCACTTTTCAACGATAACTTTATCACACGGCTATTTGTTGCCGATCTTGAAGACGATCCCTGATGGATTTCATTAGAAAACTAGTGAAGTCAATGATTAGATTACAATTAGAGCCTTTGGTATATATACATGAGGGGGAAAATCAGCTAAAAAGTATTTTTTCCTTAATCAACAACAGTAACTACAGCTCAAGGTTGTAGACACCTCAAGTAACATCTTCTCTGGGTCCATACCTAGGAACGTTAACTTTTCATATCTCCTGAGGTTTTTACAAGCTCCATACCAGACAGTTTTTCTTTTTCAAAACTGGAGGATCTGAAGTCTGGATATTTCCTACAATAAGCTAGACCGAAACATCCCTCTTTATTCATCATCTTAAATGCTTAAAGGGTCGTTCCATCAGCAAATGATGTCATGGGTCAACAACACAAGTTACATTCTGCCATGTACTCTCTTTGTTAAAGAGACCATGTTTGGTGTTATTCTTGTTTGTATTATGTTTTAATTTGTATAATCATGTACCAGCAATTGTAATTATATTATATAAGTATGGGCAAAGTTGGAAATCCTAATCCGCCAAACAAGTGTATTCTTCAAAGTCGTACTAATTAGACCAAATATTATATGTTTTACGCACCAACTGTATTCATAACTAACATCCATGTGTCCTAGGTGCTTAACAAAAGTCCAACATGATCTCATCACTCAGGTAAATCTAAAACCTTCTTGATCAAAAGATTCAGACACACACACACACCTCTAACAATCTCTGAAAACATGCGTAAGAACAAGAGCTTCCTCTTCTCGATCATCCTCTGTTTTCTTCTTACAATCAAAACAAGTGTTATCCTTGTCTCTACTCAAGATCAACAGTGCTTGGGCCAAACATCTTTTAACACATACAGCACTTTCAACAAGAACCGTCTCCTTCTCCTCTCTTATCTTCCTTCTAACGTCACCGCACAAAACAACTTCTTCTACAATGCTTCTCTAGGCCAAGATCGAGACAGAATCTATGCCCTAGCGATGTGTATTCCTAGTACCAAAACAAATGATTGCTCAAACTGCGTCAAGACTACTTCCGATGGACTTATCAAGAACTGTCCTAACAACACCGAAGCTTTTCACTGGTTAGGTAGTCAAAACACTCTATGTTTCGTACGTTACTCGACCCGTTCTTTCATTGGCTCACCAGATATGGACCCGCGTCAGATTCTTCCCAACGCTACGGATGTCAGATCGAGTATAACTGACTTTGAAGGGATCTGGCAAGATTTGATGCTTCGTATGGTGGATTCAGCTTCGTCAAAGTACTATGAAGCTGAGATCACACCCTTGACAAGCACGAGTTCTGTAGATACGATGATGATCTACACGGTTATGCAGTGTACTTCTGATATCTCTAACGCTGATTGCAACACATGTTTGAGAAATAGCGTTGGGGATTATCAGAACTGTTGCCGTGGGAAACAAGGAGGTCTTGTTACTCGTCCAAATTGTATTTTCCGGTGGGAGTTTTATCCTTTTTACGGAGCCTTTCGTAACACTCCATCACCGGCTAAGAAAGGTAAAAGAAAAAAAAAATTCAAGAACTCTGTCTTTTGTCCTGTTTCATCATATATTTGATATGTTTTCTAAATCTTGATGTAGAAGATTCTTCAACGGTGAAAATTGTTGCCCCAACACTTGTCGTTGCCTTCTTATTACTTCTAGCTGTAGTTGGATACGTTTTTTACTTGAGGAGGAGGAAGAAAAAGAATAAGGATGTTTTGAGAGAGACTTATCAAGAACTTGATAGTGAGTTTCTTCAGTTGTTTATTTCAGCAAAGCCAAGAATTTTAATGTTTCTTTGCTTTGTATGCAGCTGCAGAAGTTGATGCTCTATCTTCACTGAAATTCGAGTTCCGTGTAGTACAAGCCGCAACTAGTGACTTTTCTGAAAAGAATAAGCTTGGGGAAGGTGGATTTGGTCCAGTGTACAAGGTGAATAAGCCTGTTTTGATATTCCACCACTACAATTATGTTTTCTTATATTATCAATCAACAACGTGAAGGGAAAGCTTCAGAACGGGCAAGAAATAGCGGTGAAGAGATTAGCCTTACGTTCAGGACAAGGAGAAGAAGAGTTCAAGAACGAGGTCTTATTGTTATCTAAGCTTCAACATAGGAATCTAGTTAAGTTACTAGGTTTCTGCTTGAAAGGTGAAGAGAGACTTTTGATCTACGAGTTTGTTCCTAACTCAAGCCTTGATCATTTCATATTCGAGGAGGTTGCGAAACAAGACCATACTTTGAAGGCTAGTTGGAGCACACGGTTCAACATTATAGAAAACATAGCTAGAGGGATTCTCTATCTTCATGAAGATTCTCGTCTCAAGATCATACACCGTGACTTGAAACCTAGTAACATTCTTTTAGATTATCAGATGAACCCTAAGATTTCAGATTTTGGGATGGCGAGGTTGTTTGAGTCAGATGATCAAACGCAAGGGATTACAACAAGCAGAGTCATGGGAACCTAGTAAGTTCTTGATCACAACTCTTCTATGATTATCTTAAAACTATTTTTATTAAAAGTGCTTTTGAAACCCATATTACAGAAAGAAATTCAACAAATGAAATACAAATAAAAAATAATGGTTTTTCCACATTAAAAATAGGGGAGATATATTATTATTTATTTATTTTTGAAAAAGAGTGGAGATAATCTTAAATAACATACTCCCTCCGTTCTTAAATGATCCATATTTTAGAAAAATATTTTGTTTCTAAAAGATTCATATTTTACATTTTAAATGTATGTAATAATGGTAAATTGTAAATTTCAAAAACATTAATTATGTTTACTGAATTTTGATTGGTTAAAAATCATAAGAAATAGCTAAACACATAAAATAATACATTTATTATCAAAATTTTAAGTGTTTCTTAATAAGTGTGAAAATTCTAAAACATGGATCATTTAGGAACAGAAGGAGAAATTACTTAACGATTTTATTTAAGTAAATAATTAGATTTTCATGTATATACTAGTATACTATTTACAATAGATGATGGACTTCTAATAACTTATATAATGGCACAATGTTTTTTTAGTAGATTTTCTTTTTTGATGATTTTTTGTATTAATTTTGGCAAAATTATTTTGCTCAGTAAAACCTCTACTAATCTATGAATAAAACTGTCTTTACATTTTACTCTGCAGTGGTTATATGGCGCCAGAGTACATAGCACAAGGACGGTTCTCGGTAAAAACCGATGTATACAGTTACGGTGTTATGGTTCTTGAGATCATATGTGGTCAGAAGAACAATACCTTTCAGCCAAGTGGGGTAGCTTTCCACGTAAGTAAAAACTTAGGTCAAGAAGCTTGACTAACAAGCAATTCTTATTCTCTTTCTGAGTTGCTTATTTTACGGGGTTTAGGCGTGGACAAATTGGCGTGGAGAACGAGCACTGGACATTGTTGATTCAGTGATCACAGAGAATATCTCAAGAAACGAGATGATGAAATGCATCAACATAGGGCTCTTATGTGTTCAAGAGAGTGTGAAGAGAAGACCAAACATGAACTCAGTCATTAAATGGCTAAAGAGTAACTCCGTGACTCTTCCGGTTCCATCAACACCTGCGTATGTTGTTCATAGTGATTCAGGTGAAGCTTCTCATGTTTCTCAGGTCAATGTTTCAATCACTGAGCTTGAGCCACGTTGAATTTTTTCTTTTTTAATTTATACGCGCTTGTTTGTAAAGTTTCGGTTTACTTTTTTGTTGATTATGTTTTCATAAACTCTGCTTTGTAGTCTTGTAGACCATTCGTTTTGAGCCTGTAGTAAGCATGAAATTAAAAGACTTATTTTGACATATAAAATTCGAAACAGAATTGTTCAAAAAAAAAAAATTCTAAACAGAGTAAACCAATATCAAACCGGAGAGCTTGGGTTCGGTTAGACAATTTCATGATCAAGGTTCGGTAAGAGACGCCGAGAATGTCGCAAAGAGATGGCCTAATAAGTTATCCAAACAAGAATGTTCAAAGTCACTTGTTAGCCCCACAGTGAAGACACATGTCCAGCTCATGCAAAGAGTGGTGAGAGAAACACGTGGCACTCTCTGGTGCTCAGAAAAAAAAAAGTTCCAAAGAGTGTCCTGATTTGGGCAAGGGAAGGAAGTGTGAAACGTGAAGCAACACCTTTTAAACGCAACAACACACAAGAACCAACCTAATACGCATCATCATAAACAACCCTAAATTCCAGGAAGAGAAAGTAAAAATTCAAAGGCTAAATCTTCAAGCAAACTAAAGCTTACAAGCTTTCTACTTTAGCTTCAGTGTCCGGACACGCTAGAAATCGCGTGAGATTTGTGGCTTGAAGCATCGCAAAAGGGATTTACCTCTCTGTATTTAGGGCTAGCTTCTTTCTGTTTGTAATTCTGAAAAAAAAAAATTGAAGCTTGATTCAAGATAGAGAGAGCAGCAGAGATGTGTAGTTTGTCGCCGAGTCTGTTGTTACCGACAAAGCTGAAACCAGCTAATTCGGACAACCGGAACAGCTCACTCTTTCTCGCCAATAGAAGATCCAAGACCAAGAGGAAGAATCAATCAGTTGTTCCCGTAAGGATCCTTTTTTTCTTTCTAATCATTTTCTTAAAGAAAGTTTCAGTGTGGTGTAGCTGATTCACTAGTTTCCACAGTTTCCAGCTATAGAGTTTCAGTTCTTCACGGCTTTTCCGTTTACAATTTTTCGTGATGTTTACAGTTCTTGTTGGATTAGAGGCTTCTGATTCTGTTTCTTGAATATTCCCTAGATACTTGAAAATTGTTTCTTTCGTGTGTTTGGATCAAAGTAATGATTATGTTGAAGGGTTTTGGGTTTGGTGCAGATGGCAAGATTGTTTGGACCGGCGATTTTCGAATCATCCAAGTTGAAAGTATTGTTTTTAGGAGTTGATGAGAAGAAGCATCCATTAACACTTCCAAGAACTTATACGCTCACTCATAGTGACATCACAGCTAAATTAACTTTAGCTATTTCAAACTCCATTAACAACTCTCAGGTAACAAAAAAAAATATACATTTCTCTAACTTATTAACAGACATATAAACACAAAGTATATGGTTTTAGCCTAAGTATGTATCTGCATCTGTTCATATTTATGTCTATACATCTTTTGATAGAACAATCCTGAAACATAATAAGTACCATTGAAGAACATTTTAGAGGGTTTATTCAACGCTGATGTGTGTATATGTTCTATGTAGCTGCAAGGATGGGCAAATAGGCTATACCGAGATGAAGTGGTAGCAGAATGGAAGAAAGTGAAAGGGAACATGTCGCTTCACGTCCACTGTCACATAAGCGGTGGCCATTTCCTTTTAGATCTATTCGCAAAGTTTAGATACTACATCTTCTGCAAAGAACTACCAGTGGTAACTATCGAAAAGTAACTTCATTTTGGTTTCATGTTGATCACTTTTGATAAATTGTATATTAGGTGTTGAAGGCTATTGTTCATGGAGATGTGAACTTGTTGAACCACCATCCTGAGTTACAAGAAGCTCTTGTTTATGTCTACTTCCATTCCAATGTCAATGAGTTCGACAGAGTCGAGTGTTGGGGTCCGCTTTGGGAAGCTACTTCCCCTGATGGTCACAGGACTCAAACTCTTCCTGAGAAGCAGTGCGCGGATGAATGCAGCTGCTGTTTCCCACCTGTTAGCTCGATTCCATGGTCACATAGTCTTAGTAACAAAGGTGTTGATAGCTACTCTGCGACTCAAGGAGAGGGAATGTCTACTCCTAGTCCAGAGAAACTCTAGTGATTTTAACCAATATACAACTTTGTTAAAACCGTTTTGGTGGATCTAATATAGATTTGGTTTGGTGTATTGTACATAATGAAATGGTAAAATACTATTTATAAGAATCATCACCACCACCAGAGTAAAGTTGATTAGTATTTAGACACAAGTAACCGATGTAACACACGTGAAATCAACAAGAAACGTGAAGGTGACGAGAGATTAGGAGTGAGGTGACGGCAAGAGAATCTTCTGGTATACAATACGAAGCGTACAGGCCACTCCTTGCTGCTTCTAATGATTCCAAATCATTCTTTTGGATTTTATTTTGGTTCTAATCTTTCCTCACAATCTTCTTCTTTGATTGTTAAACCAAAACAAAGATGACTTTATTTCTCTGGCCCCATTCGTCTATGCCTACCTGTAATTTACGACAACATCACAAGACAACAAGAAGAGGTAATGTATAGAGAATGGGGGCAACGAATTATTGCAATTTTATTATTATAATGGTAATGTGTTCGTAAGCAAAATTACAACAAAACTTGTTGTAGGAATAAAAAAGGATATACACTTATAAGAAAATTGTGTTGTGCATCTTGACGAACCCAAATGGTGTTTGTATCAAAAGGGTTAGATCTTCTTTGCATCCGTGTAGTAAATATAATTTGTTTCCAACTCCCGTGTAAAAAAATGTTGGTTGAGAAGACCAACTTAAGAGGCTGCTGCTGTTGTTGAAGTAATGAAAGAAACATGTATCTGTCCTTTGAGTGTCTGCTGTGTGTGTTTTGTGAAAGATGTTTTCACCGAATTGTTGTTCTACCAAAGAATGATGACCCGATTTCACTATCCGTGTTCTGCACAGAAAGATTAAATTATATTCTCTGATAATAACATGTTGAGATTATTAAGTACAGAAAGTTGATAAGTTTTTACCTGAGATTTGGGGGATGGGAAGACATTCCAGAACCTTAAGGTTTCATCTCCTGCTCCAGTTACAATAGTCTGTCCATCAGGTGAGACCGCAAGGTACAGAACACGGTATGTGTGACCTGTCAGAGTTGCAATCTGAATCCCAACAAGAAGAGAGACAGGTTTAAGTTAACCACTGATGCAGAGTAATATACAGAGGCCATAACATAAACACAGATGTGTTACTTTGGACATGGTTGGGTATTTCCAGACTATGATTTGGTTTTGGGAGTATCCGTGCGTGCTAACTAGCTCGTTTACGTTCTTAGACCATGCTAGATTGCATACCTGTCAATATGCATAAACAAAAGACTATTATTACATTAGGTTATGTTAAGTGAATCATGTCAAAAGCTAAGATTTTCTTTTACCTGACTGCAAGTATCAATGGAACTCAAATGAGTATTCGTAGATGTATTCCAAAAACGTATGCATCTATCAGCAGTGCCACCACCAGAAGCAAGAAGCCCATGAACGTGAGGAGACCAAGCAATTGCTTTAACCGCTGCTGTGTGTTCACTATACTTCAGAACCGGTTGTGTTGAATGTTGGTTCCATACAAAAAGCTGCCAGAATTTTATAACAATGTTAGAGTCAATGTAACCGGAAATTAGAATGCATTAGTAAGTACATACCCGATTGTCGTTTCCACCAGAAGCTAACTCTCTGTTGTCATAAGACCACTTGAGTCCGCATACTTCAGATTTGTGACCGGACAGTTTACTGACATGATCCTCTTGACAACGTATGTCTCTCTGAAGAATACTCTTGTCTCTACTACCAGATGACAGAACAGATGAGCCCCACGCCAGTGCTCCAACTCTCTGTCGATGTCCTTCCATTGTTCTTGTTCTCTTGCACCGCGACGCATCCCATATCTGTCATATTACAATTATTGTGAGTAATATCCTATCTGAATAATACATGGAAACAGGAACACACACATAGGCCTAAGAGCATTGACAAGACCAAAAAGGTAACCTGTACTTTCCCGGAACTAGTTCCAACAGCAAGATGAGTTCCACGAAAGGCCCAGCCCACAGAGCAAACACTATCATCAGCTCCCAGATCACATAGTTTAGTTACTTTGCTGCTACAAGCGTTCCACAGATAAACGCAGTTCCCTAATCCCACCGCAAGAACATTTTGTGCAGACCAGTCCACTAGATTCAAATAAAAATCATCTTGCAAAGCCGGTGCATCTAGTACCTAACAACAACACCAAACAAAACCTCTGTTAAATCCAAATAGCAACATTAGATGTCTTAAAAGAAGAGTAAACAATAATGGTTTGATCTAAGATCAAACCAATTTTGAGATCATCACAGAAGATAACATAATGCTTGATGCATAGATGGAATCTAAAGACAAAAGTCAACGAGATCAAGAATATAAACTCCCAAAAACCCCTAAATCTACAGACATTTACCTTATAAGGCGATCGCGAGACCTTCCTCGAGGCCTTGATCGGAGCATGACTAACACCAGGACCACCATCATCACACACAAAGGGAGAAAAAGAATTCAAACACCGATTCGTCTCCGTCTTAAACCTGAAGATATTCCTCGAAGTAGAGAAGCCAGTGATGTCCCGTTTCTCCGGCGTCTCTGGACCGAACATCGCCGCGCGCAAGAGAGTCGCGTAAGAGCCGGCGCCGCCGTCTTCTTTGCTCGGAGAAGGAGCGAGATCGAAGAGAGCGAAATTGGATCCGGATCTACTAGGTATGAATCTATCAGAGTATATAGACCTTGACGGTGATGGTGATTGGTTGGCATTGATCAGACGGTTGATTCGTGACTCTAGTGACAACTTCATAGACGGTGATGGAGTTATCTGAGAGGAAGAGGAGGAGGAAGATGATGAATTCGCCGGAGGTGTCACGTTGCTTGCGGTAGGATCTTCCATTGAAAAGTTTTGACTTTTTATTTTTTTTATTTTATTTGTTTTTCTTTCTACTCTTCTCGGTTCAGACCAAAGGGCTAAGTAGTGTTGGAATAAATCTCTTCTGTCCTTTTTTTTAATTTTATTTTTAGTTTTTATTTTTTTATGTTATTTTTCCTTTTCCCGGGCAATCTCAAGGAAACAGAAAACGACATGTGAATTGATCCGAAATTAAGAGGTTGATCAGGTGATGTTTTTGTTAGTTACGTCATGATTGATTCTTAAATCGTTAGATTTTAGAGGGTTTTAATGGGCTTACAGCTAGGCCCAATTAGATCTGCCTAAATATTTATTAGTATTTACTCCATTTTTCACCCATTTTCTACCAAAACCTAGTTGTGATCTTTAAAATCATAGTTGAGTAGATGGCAGATCCAGACTTTTTTTTAAAAGACTTACTTAAATCTCATAGATCTACGCCCAATCAAGATCTGAAATAAGATTTATTGACTTTTTATTCAATATAAAATATATATTGAGATACAAACCAGAAAATTATTTAGTAAGCGAAAAACTGTACACTATTGAATTTTGTAACATACACTGTTAATATTATAATTAAATTTAAACTTTTCTGATTAAACTAAAATACTCTAAAGATGGAAAAAGAAGAAATATTCTTGCTGAAATGAATAAATGTTACTTCTTTATTTTTCCCCTATATATAATGTTTTTTAAGAAACAATTCCCAAAAGGTTTATTACTTGCAAGTTGCTATGCAGAAGTGATTTGTTCTCATTACCTATCACGTTCGGAAGTTGATCTACCACACATTAAATTAAGAAAACTAGACAGTTGTATGAAGCAAAAATAGATTTGTCTAATAAAAAAAACAAAGAGAATCAAACAGATCAAAAATAAAAATAAAAGAGAAGTCATGCAATTACGATGTTTGGTGAAAACAGCTTTCATGTCTAAAAGAACATGTCCCCTTGTTCATGTGTGGAGGTGGAGGATGTAAATTCTATAAAAAAGAAATTTGAAACATTAACTCTTTACAAACTTTTTTTTTGAAACACTAACTCTTTACAAATTAACTCCTTTTTATAAACTTTACAAAATCTTTTTTGGACAAATCTATAAAATTTACACATTGTCATTTATTCACGACATCAAAAAAATATAAAAATGATAAATCAATATGGAGAAGAAAAGAAATCAAAATTGAATCACACAATGTGAAAGTTGGGACATATATATCTACCAACGTAAAAAACTATATAGTACAATTTAAAAAGAGAAAATGTTCCATTCTGTAAAAGTTTTTACTTTTGCAAAAGGAAAAAAATTATTCTTTCCTTCGGTTAAATGAATACACTTTAACGAAATTTAGATGAAATTTCACTTTTGATCCATTCAAACTAATTATCTAACAATATATTATATATACTTAGGAAATTCAATTAACACATCAAATTGGGGGGCAATTAGAAACAAAATATAATTATGGATAATGATTTGAATGAGTGTGTTTATACCTATCATCGGGAATTATGGGAAGAGTTCTAGTTCCTGAAGCAGTGGGAGCCCCTAACATGACCCACCCTTGATACCTGAAGAGCTTCTTCTTCTTCATAAGCTCTTCTCTCTCTGTTTTCTTCTTCCCCTTCGCTAACCCAAATAGGATTGCTCCAATCACACTACCTACCACCACTTTCCACCGGCTCAACTTTCCTCCTCGGCTTCCGTCCTTCATCCCCGTCGATGGTGTCACCGTCTCACCACCATCACTGTCATCATTTCCTCGAGCTTCCGTCGTCACTACGAGAGCTCAATGCCGCCCTTGTCTTGTTCCTCTACAACAGAAGGTGAAACTTGATCACTCAACGTTGTCTTACCGTTTCTTGTGATACACGCACACTAGACTGATGAGTTCTTCTTTATGGTCTTAGTGTCAGAGTTAGGGTTACGACTTGACTTGCTCTTCAAGAAATCGATCAACATTAGGTTTTGATCGGTACCAAACAACGTTAACCTCGTAAGGGTTCATGGCCAAACCGTCATGGTTAGCACTCTAAGCTACTAGACCGAGAACCGGAGACAATCATGCATTGTAAGCTACCTTAACTTGACCGTATAGATTTCTAAACCGGAGAAACTAGAAGGGAGATGGGTTTTCTATGTGTTTAGATTTAACTAATGGTGTAATCCCTGATCATGAGATCAAGAAGATGGGTGGATTGGGTTGATTGAGAATCAGATTGGTGGAATGATAAGAGAAGTATGACTAGAATGATGATGTTATTAGGGATCTTTGATGTGCAAATAGAAAATGAATTCATGAGAGGATCATGACACTATAGGGTTTATAGGAAGTGGAGAGTAGAGAAACATATACGACGGTTCTAACGTAGATGTTTTAAAAATCTAAATTATTTTTCATATTAATAGAAAAGCAGTTGATATGTCTATAGACTGGTGGAGAAAATTGGGTTGATGATGATAGAAGCATGGGAAGATGATGATCATGATTACTAGTCTTGTGTGCTGACCGAAAAAGATTAAATCTTCTGTTAATTACCATTCAAATATGTATATTGATTTATTATATACAAGCAAAAAAGAAGAGAGACATTGGCGTGCTAATATTCGTGACATTTTCCTCTTTTGTGTAATGGTTATGCCTTTGTCTGTCCTCTCATTATATGTCTTCTTGACTTTAGCTCTATCTCTAATCAATCAATCTCTCTATGTTACACACCATTTGAATCTCTTACACTCAAACCTATACACTAATAAAATTGTATGCGTTGTTGAGCATATTGATGAAAAGGTTGTAAAACCTTTTTCATCTCTAGGTGTTGCAGGTTAGAAAGTAAACGTACCTGACATATAGATGGTGAACCATATACATCATGTGTGACTTTTATCTTTTAATAGAATCATCTTTTTTATTGTTGGATTTGAAATCAAAATCTTAACTTTTTCATTCCTTTTACTCAGGTTGTACGATTTTAACAGTAAGAAAAAAGATTGTTCAAAAAAAGAAACTGCAAAGAAAAAGAAACAAATCCTAACTATGTTAAACTTAATTTCACTCAGTGAAGTTAAGTCTGAATTAACTATCATTTGACACCTATGAAAGGTTGGTGAAGAAGTATTCATTAAATATTTTCTCTTTTTGCTTACAGAGTACTTACAAATTCAGAAAACATGTGAAGAAGATAAGAGAGCTAACATGGAAGATCTTAAATATACAGCATCAAATCCATTTTTGCTTCTGACAAAACCCATTCTTCTTTTCCTCCATCTTCATCTAGATTTTTTTTTTTTTAAAACATTAATATCCCAAACTTCCATGTAACTTAAAAAGAGTAAACTAATCAGAATTATATGAAAGATATGTACCTCACAGGGTTTCAAGCTTAGCTTGCTTCTGGCAATGTGATCAACCTAGAACCCGAGTCATACTCCATCGCGGTTCCACAGCTAAAACCACAAGATTGATCAAAGATTCAGATATTATTATTATGTATTATAAACTCTTGAAACAAAGGTCTAAAGCTACAGAAACCGTGGCTCTTTGGTTGCATTCCTTGAACTATAGAAACTATCCTGACCTAAACTACGGCAAAAAATTGTCACAAAACTGAGCAAGAAACAACAGAGCCAGAGCCATAACTGTAGCCTAACTAATCTCAGTGCTAGTTTGAAGAGTCAACATTGTCTGTGTTCTTGAGTATTTTTCTACATCTTTGGTGTAACGATTCCTGTAACTTTTTATATTTCAAAATGTTTTTCACAAATACTAATGGATTTGATTTAGTTTCTTCCTCAATGTCATCATCAGATAAAGATTTAACTTTAATGCATAGAGAGGAGAATTATCTTACTTGGTGCATTTGACATTGTTGGTTTTGCCACCGCTGGAGATTGAAAGAATTGTTCCAAAGAAGGAAACATTCTCTGTTCCACAATTTGGACAAGGACCCTACCGAACAAAGAAAACAGTTAGAAACAAGAACGCTCATCAAGTATCTTGTTGTTGCTATTCTTTTGCAATATCAGTAATAGTTTTCTTCTTTACCTTCAAGATCAAGAAGTCTTTGATGATCAGTTTGGTGATTGATGAAGCCAGGTAAACGATCAAAGGCACGGCAGCGAACCAAGTGAATATGAAACTATATGGCTCTGAAAGCTCCAAGATGTATGTGATCTCAAAACCTGTTATGTCGTCCAAGAAGAAGAACCTGATATAAAAACATGTTAGCAAAGACAAGAACGAGGTGGTTTAAATGAGTTGAATGTTCATATAGAGAATAACAGAATTGGTTATAGTGACTCACAGTCCGAGGGCAACAACGCTTGCTGGAACATTGAGCAAGAGCATTTTGAAGTAGTCTACAGCGAGATCACTATACACCTGCATTCAAGGAAAATTAACAAGACTGTAAATAAGTTATGTGTAAATGGTGTAACATTCAAGCAATGAATCTTTCTGTAATTATTTACCTTTTTACTACGGAGACTGCATCTTGGACCCTCGCACACAATCTCGCTACCATCCATCTATAGAAACAGGTAGAATCATAAAAACTGAAGTTGAGAGGAATTAGGATATGTATATTTTGAGTGGAATAGAACCTTTAGTTTGAGTTTGAGCTGATCAAATTCTGCATCATTAAGAATTGGATTTCCAGAAACATAAGCCATTGAAGCTTCCAAGAACCTTTGTTCATCAGAACCTAAGTTTCATAAAACCAAACCAAAGATAAAGCTAAAACAATTATAATAGTTGATAACTAGTGAGAATAGTTTGATATTACTTAGCATGACAACACTGCTTCCTTCCCACATAAGCTCTTCTTTAAGGTTATCAAACTCCTCATTCGACATGATCGCTTTGCCATCGTAATAAAACGACTGCACAAAACAAAACAATTAATTGTTCAGGCAGAGGCTCTTGAAAGATTTTGTTAATACAATGAAAAAAGGATGGAGGGGTTGAAAGTAGCGTTTACTTGCATGGCTTGGAGAAACTCTTGTTCCATTTCACCAATTGTTTTCTTCTCAGCCTTGTTAATGCTACAGTAAGGCATGATATTGCTATCCACGTCTTCTCCTCCCACTTGACCTTACAAAAAAACACCAAACATATAAACTTGTTGATTACTTTCTTTGCAACCTTATTATTCAGACAACTAAGAATCTAGAGATGGAATTGAAAGGCTACAACTTTGGGGAAAACAAATAAGACCTGATTGCTCTGTGGAGGCTTTTGCAGGCAACAAGAAGAATCTTTTTCTCATGGGAAGCGATCTTCCAGGGCTGAGCTGAGCCCATTGAGTCCTCGAAGACGGAGGAGAGGAGAAAGAAGTGGTGGGTTTACGAGAAACCGCGGTGAAGAGACGAGGGCTTGTTAAACTGAATAGCATCTTGCTGCCCATTTTCCCAAGGAGAAGAAAGGAGATTCCTTTTTCCTCTGTTTTCTGGGAAAATATTTCAGAGCACCTTGTGTGGTTGAAGATGAGTTACTGTGAGTTGATTTTTTTGTGTGTGTTTTTAATTATTTTATTTTAAAAATAGGAAAATAATTTGGAGGGAAGAAATTAGGAGATAACATAGGTGTGGATATGAATTTCTAGGCAGATCTCTGATATTTTTTAGACTATATCCACGTCAGCATTAAAGATTCACCTTTTTAATCAGAAACATAAAATTTATTAGCTTATAGAAATAATTTTATGCTAAAGGGATTAATAATAAAATTGTATGTTAAATTTTCCAATTTTAATGTTTAAATTACATAATAATTATAAATAATTAATCACTTTCACAGCTCTAAACAGAGTAAGATTATGAAATAAGAGTGCTTGGCTAAAATAAAAACAATGTGATATAGCTTCTTTTCAAAATCAAAAAAAAAAAAAAGATAATTGTTTTTGTTGAAACTGAAACCAGTCAAAAGAGATTTTCAAAAAATAGAATAAAATGTGGATATAAATGGACACCCTTAGTCGAAGCACTAGAGCTGGACACGTGGAAACACGATTTAGGCACGTGCACACGGACGCACAAGAAACGCAACCAAATGTGATAGTGACTGGTTTATATTCTATTGGGCTTCTTTTCATGGGCTTTATAATTTCAGTACCCAAACCAAGACCCGGTAACTGCCTTTTAGACTTTAGAAAGTATGTTTGACCGTTGGATTGGCTCTTAAGGGGGTGGTGAAACCATCAGTCAACCAAACCTTCATCTTCCATTGACCATTAAGTGTGTCACTCACTCACTTACCTCTTCTTCTTCTTCTTCACACATTCACTAACTACCGGTAGCTCTAATTTTTTTTAAATAATAATTATTTTTAATGGAAATATTCGCCTTTATAAGAAACCATGTAGACATTTCATTTACTTCCAACAAACCGCGAAGGCAGAGTAAGTAGATAAACAAAACATCCTTTTTGTATAACATAACTCTGTTTTTCCCCTGTTTTAAGCTTCTTTACTTACTCTGTTTTAGCTTTAAAAGAAGTACAAGAAGATGGTTGCAGTTGAAAGAGTCGAGAGCTTAGCAAAAAGCGGAATCAAATCAATCCCAAAAGAATACATCCGTCCAAAAGAAGAGCTCGAGAGCATCAACGACGTGTTCCAAGAAGAGAAGAAAGAAGACGGTCCACAAGTCCCCACCATCGATCTCCAAGACATAGAGTCAGAAGACAAAACAATCCGTGAGAAATGCATAGAGGAGCTCAAGAAGGCGGCCATGGACTGGGGAGTGATGCATTTGATCAACCATGGCATACCTCTTGATTTAATGGAGCGTGTGAAGAAATCAGGAGAAGAGTTCTTTGGTTTGCCCGTTGAAGAGAAGGAGAAGTATGCAAACGATCAAGCCAATGGGAAGATTCAAGGGTATGGAAGTAAGTTAGCTAACAACGCGAGTGGACAACTTGAGTGGGAAGATTACTTCTTCCATCTTGTTTATCCTGAAGACAAGAGAGATCTTTCACTTTGGCCTAAGACACCAAGTGATTACATGTAAGCATACACAAATCTTGTTTTTGGTTATGTGATAATGTTTTTAAGTTTTGTTTGGTTGTTTGTAGTGAAGCGACGAGTGAGTACGCGAAGTGTCTTCGTTTGCTTGCGACAAAAGTCTTCAAGGCTCTCTCTATCGGTCTAGGCTTAGAGCCTGACCGTCTAGAGAAAGAAGTTGGTGGTTTAGAAGAGCTTCTCCTCCAGATGAAGATAAATTATTACCCGAAATGCCCTCAGCCTGAGCTGGCACTTGGCGTGGAAGCTCACACCGATGTAAGCGCTTTGACCTTTATCCTACACAACATGGTTCCAGGTTTGCAGCTGTTCTACGAGGGTAAATGGGTCATTGCAAAATGTGTTCCTGATTCTATTGTCATGCATATTGGAGATACGTTGGAGATTCTAAGTAATGGGAAGTTTAAGAGTATACTTCACCGTGGATTGGTGAATAAGGAGAAGGTGAGGATTTCTTGGGCTGTGTTTTGTGAGCCACCAAAGGATAAGATTGTGCTTAGGCCGTTGCCGGAGATGGTGAGTGTTGAGTCTCCTGCTAAGTTTCCTCCAAGGACGTTTGCTCAGCATATTGAGCATAAGTTGTTTAGGAACGAGCAAGAGGAATTGGTATCTGAGAAAAAAGATCAAGTTTGAGTCTATAAATGTGAAACTCAATGTCCTGAGGTTCTCTTTTATCTTATGTATGTGTGTTTTTCCTGTCTTTGGTGTGTATCTTATTAAAGATATGAAGTCATATTTCTATTCATTGTGTCATTGTGATATGTTAAAACATTACAAGTTTATTTTGTGTTCCAAGATAGTGTCAGGGTGTAGTTGGCTATCACTTTGCTTCAACAACACCAATAAGGCTCTCAGTGAATTTATGTGATTTGTCACAAAGTAAGTCGTGAGAACAAAAAAAAATGAGTCTGTATATGTGAAACTGTATGTTCAAGTATCTCTTTTATCTTATGTTTGTGTCTTCTCATGTCTTTGATGTGTTTTATTAAAGATGTGAAGACATATTTCTAGTTGTTTAAGATAACAATTTAAGCTGGCAGAAAAAGATAACCAAGATTTAAACATTCTCTAAGCAGGCACCTGCCATGATTTTGTTTAGCTAACTGACTTAGCAGTAGGTCTCATTAACGTTGAGCTCCTTGGAGTAGGTCTGATGCTTGACTTAGCTCGGAACTTTGGTTTGTTATCACTGTAGCTGTGATTGCCAATCGTTGGCCTGGTTAAAAAAAAAGTAGAGAAAGTGAGACCACAAACAATAAAGTAAATACCAAAGATGGACCACATCTAAAAGGCACTAAGAACTGATTGTTCAAGATAACTAAGGAGCAATGCTGTGTATAGAGAAGCATAAACAATAATTGAAGTATCTATAGCAAAAAAAAATAGTGATCACCTTTGGAAATGGGTTGATTTGGAAATTTCTTCAAGCAACTACCTTGTTGAGAGGAAAAGGTCCTAAAATGCATTCCATCTCCCGAAGGAAAAAACAGAGATATTTATAGGTATCTGATAAACACATATGGTCTTGGACTTTCTACACACATAATCATCATCAACTGGTAAACAATCTGAAGAGGTGAAGGTACATAATCAATTATCCACCTGTCTTTCTCAAATGTGGATTCTGCTGATAGATTTCTGTACAAACATCTGATGTGACTTCCTCATCCTCCTTGGTCTTGTCATCAGAAACTTCCTCTCTAAGTAACAATGCTGTCACGAAAGCTAAAAATACAAAGAAATTAACAGCAAAGTCAGTTAGAAGGACAACATTTGGAAAAATAATTAGTACAGTAACATACGTTTTGTTTTGGAGTGTTGGACCAAAACTACTTTTGGGAGTACAAAGATACATTTATTTTAAAGGAGGTGTTGTTGGTTGATCATTTTTAGATGTTGTAGTAAGTGGAAAGTTTTAACTAAAAAAGGAAAAGAGTATAACTCATACAATCAGATCTTTTAGGATATGTACTATTTTTATAACTCATACAATCAGATCTATTATAATTGGGGTCACATGATCCTTTGACAGTTCTTTCAGTAATGATACATAAGTTTTCCTCTTTTTCTTCTACACACATATCAATTATTATGTTCAAAGAAATTAAGGTTTCATTCAAAACATTAATGAAAAGAGAAAATAATATATAAGCATCAGCACACAAGAAAAGTAAATCAAACAAAGATTCTCTCATTTTTCCCAATACCACTGCAAATAACAACAATCTGTTTTTTTTTCATTCATGTCACCACATCAAAACCACACAAGTACACAATACTTACTTACACCCAAGAATCAAGAATGGTGTTAGATTCTTCCTGTGTTCATTCTAATTAACCATATGTTTCTTCTTCTTTTTTTGTTAATTAAAGAGATGAAGAACCAAAGAGACAAAAAAAAACAGTGCTCTTTCACATCTTGGAGCAGACCTGAACTGTGTAAGGAGTGAGACAAGAGATGTTTCTGCAGCTCAGAGTTTGTCACGTGGAGGTTTTATTGCAACAATGCTTCTTCCTCTTTCTTCATTGTCTCCAGCTGTCTTTTCGCATACTTCGTGATGAGAATCGTTGTTGCTACAGTTCCTAGAAAGCCCAAAATGTTGAGAATAATCTGTGTAACCGAGAGCCCGTGTTTATCTGCAGAAGATGCGTCTGCTAATGTCTTTACAAGATTCCCTCTGCAACATACAAAACGAGATATCTCATACGTCGGTGGATAGTACAGGATCCAACAGTATTCAGAAATAGGGAAGGTGACTTACGTATAGATAGCAACAAAGATCTCAGGGACCATGCCTAAGAGAGATCCAGTGATGTAAGGACCGTACTTAACACGAGTTGCAACAGAACAGTAGTTATAAAGAATGTAAGGGAATGGAGAAATCCGGATTAAAGTGACTGCTCGAAACTGGTGAAACCAATTCCCTTCACCAGCAGCTCTTAATACCACTGCTTGATCAGGATATCTTTCTAACCATCCCTGCACAATCACCAAATAAAAAAGACACAAAACAGATCTCAGCCACATGCACAGTTACATTCACCAATTGATCAAATCCACCACGAAGCTTTCAAGTACTATGATTGATTCACGCTAAAGTAAAGAAACCATATATATATGATGATGGAGTTTACTTGAAGTTTGTGGCGGAAGAGATGACCAATGAAGTAAGGAAGTGAAACACCAACAGAAGCAGCCGAAATAATAAGTAGAAACCCATAGCCGTAACCAAAAGTCATCCCAGCAATCCACATGGAGGGAGTAGAGGGAAGAAGTATCGTAGGGAATAAAGCCACTGATGCAAAGACTAGAAGACCGCACACTGGATGCGTAAAAGTCCTTATCTCCCATTTAATAATAGGGATAAGCTCCTGCAAAAAAAAAAAGCAAGTGGATAACAGTTCCCCCAAGTTAGCAAAAACTCACAGATGATCTCTAATGCAAGAACTATTGGATTCATTAATACCAAACCCAGAACACCTCAAGATCTAAAGAACTATTAGAGTATGAGCATCAAGGTAATAGACAATGTTCTAACCACAGTGACAAACACTATGCTAACTATGGCCATAAACTAAAGAATCTTGAGTAAGTTAAAATAGCTAAGGAGAAGACAAGAAACACTAATCCAACTAAGAACACAAGGAGATAAAATGAGACATGCATTGGGTTTTGAATAAAGATGAAACCTTGTCCATGATTAGCGGACCGAGCCATCTGTAAGCAACGAAGGCCAAGGCAGCGAGAAAAGAGAATAAAAGAGAAAGCTTGAGCCAGAACCAAAACGGCGACGAAGCAGTCTCCTTCACTTCTAATTCTTCGTTCTCCTCCTGCCCTGATGATTCTTCTTGACCCTCACTTAGTTTCAGATTAGCCCCTTTCTCGACGTCGTCTTCAACTCTCAAAAGAGCCGCCTTTTCGTCTTCCGGAGACGTCGTCATCGGAACACGAACCAGAGAGACGGAAAGAGCTATTCGAGTGGATTCCCCCCGATACAGTGATCGGAGAAGAAGAATTCAGTCGATCGAGAGAGAATGCAGATTACTCAGCAAAGGTTTCTTCTTTAGAAGGAAGGAAGGAGGGGGATTGATTGTGTATTCTTTCGTCTTCTTCTTGTTTGCTTGCTTGTACCGATGAGGCTACACGAATGCATTAATCGCTTTCTTTCTCTTACACATGTTTTCCACCAATTCCTTTTTTTTTTTTATCTTTCTAAAGAATAAGGAAAACAACACCCAATTTTTTTTTTTTATCTTTTCACAATTTGAAACTAACATTCTTAGTGTTACAAAAAAAAAACTTACATTTGTAAGACTCTCCAAAAAAAAATTATTTTAAAGTTTGACAAAACCTCAAATTTAAGGTTTAATATTATTCCTTTCTGAAGCAAAACCTATACCAAAACTTAAAAGTTTTATATTTGAAATTATAAGGTAGTTTGTATATGCCCTTTCCATATGTAAATATATTGATTTTCTTACTCCTCATGTTTTTGTTATAAAAGACTTCTCTTAGTTAAACTATAAAATTAACCCTTGGACATATTAAAAAACAATTTCAGCTTTTATATAAATAAAGGTATAGTTTTATGATCAGACAATTCTCTCAAATAGATATTTTTAAGTTTTTGTTACAAATGGAAATTTCAAAAACTAAAAATAACTAAAATATATTTTTTTTTTAAATTTGAAACTATATCCCCAAAACTTCACTTCTCAACTCTAAACAAAAAGTATAATATTAGTTAACCCAACTTGTACAAAGGTATATTTAATTAATTTTAATAAAACATTTAAAGATTATTTTTATTTTTAAATTTTATATTTGTGACAAAAAAAATTTAGGTCTATCTTAGAAATTTTTTCTCTAATCGATATAAATCAAAAAATATAGTTAACTATATACTAGTTTAAATTATGATTTGGATAGTTCATATGCAATTTTGAGCTATATCATTTGAAAATTCAAAAGTTAAAGTAACATAATAGAAATGTTTCTGTAAAAAAATTGAAATGCTATTTTTTGGGCACATGTGTCTTTTCTGAAAACAATAAAAGGACGGTTCGATGAAAAAACCCGGTTTAAAAACTAAACCAAAAAACAAAAATCTCAGCCATGGCGATTGCTTCAACATCCACTCTTATCTTCTCCTGCACCAAACCCGATCTCCGGCCAATTCCCTCCCACATTCGCTCATCTTCTCCGTCTCCATCTCCTCTTACAAGTCAATTCCGTATCCGTACCTTAACCCATGACCCGGTTTGTCTCACCGGTCTTATCGGAACCGGTTTGGTGGCTGCAACGTTCATGGCGGGAGGACCAGATAGTACTGCTATGGCTGCGGTTGATTCTCTCCAGCTAACCGAACCTGCTAACGCATTGTCTTTACCCACTTGGGCTGTTCATGTTTCCAGCGTTGTCGAATGGTTTTGTCTCCCTTCTTCCTTGCTTTAATTGATTCAGCTCTCATCTTAGAAAAGTTTTGAACTTTTGATCTGTAGTGATGCAATATAGTAGTTTCTGTTGTGGGTTTCTCGAGTTCTTGATATTTGTGAAGCTTACATCTTTATTTTGTGTTAAGACCGGTCTAAAGATTGAGACTTTGTTTGTGTTTTTGATGTTTTGTAGGATTACGGCGATGGCGTTGGTATGGAAATATGGAGAAAGAAAGGGTTACGAGTCTTGGAAAGGTCTCTCATGGGGAATGGTTTGACCTCTCTAAAGCTGATTTAAATGGTTACTTCCTAGGTTTCTTGTATTTTTGATAGCTTTCATGTTTTTGTTTCTTTGTTCAGGTGCCTTTGCTTGGTGGTGCTCTCTGTGCATGCACATGGCATTTCTTTTACAATGCTGAATCTCTTGAGGTGAATAAAACCTCTTTTACTCTCATTTGGTGAAACACTGATGAAGGAATTAGGCTAAGCTATTTGCTTAAATGTGATGTTGTTTTTGCCTGTTTACTCACACTTAAAGTTTGTAATTTTGGGCTTACTGCATTCTTAGGTGTTGGTCGCGCTTCAGGGAGCACTAACTGTGATTGGTAATATTACTTTGTGCATTGCTGCCTTTAGAATCTACAAGTCTACATCCAAAGTGGAAATCTCTGAAGAGCCGTGAGTGGTAAACGCACATCTGTGTGTTAAAAATAAAGTCAAAGAAATGATCTGTTTTCAATAATTTCTACAGGCAGGTAAGGGAGACATTTGCTTGATATAGAACATTTAAAAAATGAAGCTGAGTTCATAATGTTTCGTTTGACTATTGTAGGAACCTGAGGACTGAGTGTAGCCTTCTTGGAGGTGGCAGTGGTTATAGAAGCAACTGGATATTTAGATGTGGTATTGACGGAAAGATGTTGTTTTATACCTAGTGATTGCACTAACACATGTTTCTTGAGCGTGTGTGTGTGTGTGTATATATATACTTACAATTACATAATGTATTGTATTATCCTGATTATATTCCTGGTGAGTGAGGCTAGTGCATTATATAACCTAGTACTGATGGTCTTAGCCTCTTAGGTTTGGGATCACAAAGTTCATGCAGTTAAACTCTTTCGAATCAACAAAAAACTGATTTGCAATTTGGTGCTGTTAGTGTTATGGTTTTGATCTTTTGTGTGGATACTCAACCGTCTGAAAAACAACTAAACCATCTTAAAACACTGCTGAAATCATTTTCATTTAGGTCTTTAAGGCTTGTATTTTTTTTTGTATATCAGCGTATTTCACCTTAGATTCAGTATTATTGGGGAACAATTTCTCTTTTCTTGTATCTTCATTCTAATCTTCAAAAATATTAAATACTCTTCTGTCTTTCAAAATATTTTTATTTATAAGTACTGACAGTTATAACTAGTATTACAATCATAGCTATATATATTGCCATCTCAAAAATCATTTTAAATAAACCTTCAAAGTTGAGATCAAGTCAATACAGAGCTGGTCCCGGAGAGAAGCCAATGAAACATGTGCTTACGGTCACCAAATATTATGGTTTACAACGACCACATTTGAACAGAAAGTTCTCAGTAGCAAAGTGGTTGGCTTAAGATTACATATGTTACATGTCGAGAGTTTGAAGTACACCGGCCACATTATTTATTTTAGCTTTTAGCCTCACAATTATTAGGACCGGCTCTGAGTCAATACAATTGTGAAATTTTTTTATTTTAGCTTCTAGTCTAACAATTATTAGGACCGGCTCTGAATCAATACAATTGTGAAATAATATAAACTCCTAGTAAAAAGGCTTATACCTTAAGAATGTAACCATATTGATATTGTGACCATGCACGTCTGTTTGAGAAAGCAATACGCACTTTCATTCCGTAAAGAGTCTAAAAAGACTTCCGAAGTTTGAGGACAACACTAATGTATAAAATTCAGAATCATTGCCTTCATTATCAATTGATTTTAGATTATAGATCCAAGAAATTAATATGATTCAATAAATGTCACTTTATGATCCACGTCAAAAATTTGAACAGGTAAACATTAATATACAAATGACTTAAACCAATCAATTCATTATGAAATGGTTTTCAAAAACGAACTAAATACGTAACATTTGACTCATTTGGTCATGACCATAGTTATAACTTCTATACATGACTATATTATTTTTTTAAAGATATATTATGCATAATTAACTTTATATGCATTTAGACAACATGAGTGTAAGTAGCTGGTAGTCCCGAAAGGAACATGGTATTCACGAGCAAGCGCACGTGTGAGGCAACATTTGAACAAATGTATTGTCTCCTTATCCACATATACACACATATATACGTAAGTACTAACATATATTCACACACTCAAATTTGTTTTCACTCAAATAATATATCACTTATATATGTAATAAGCGTATAAGTTTGTGTGTGTAGAGAGAACATGCACATAAAGCTCCCATACCTGTTTACTTTTCTCGTAAATTGTTAGCTCCCGATTAAGCCGCCGGTACTGCAGCTTTTCTTATATATGCATATGCTCAATGCACGCAGTTAAATAAATATATATAAAAGATTTTTTTTAATTTAGAACTAATTTACGTATATTATGTATATTTTATACATATTATATTGGCCGATTACTAATATATTATGTACATCATTTTTATCACATATATTTGTGATTTTAACTTATCATTAACTAAACATATATAGACTCCGGCAAACGACATGTGTATACTTATCCATCATCATGCAGTGACTGATTAAGGTGATCATTATCTTATTCACAAAGGCTTTTTGATTGAAATTTGATATCCGTAATGATTAATAATGAGATGAAAACTCTCATTATAAAACCATTTTACTTATAGATAAACTTAATCATTTCATCGTACCAATTATAGTTACCAACATAAGTGCCTTTCTAGTTTAAGAAACTTCCTTGAACTTTTTAGTTACCTAATTTTCAATAGAAACAATGTAACATAGTACAATATATATGCGAATACACTATCATATATCCTTTGACGACGTAGGCACAGTACTATCAAATCAGCATAAACCATCGGAAACTAATATGCCAAAGCCTGTTAAACTAGTTCCTGTGTCTGAATAGATTCAAATTGAGAATATGTTACGAATTATAAGAATTGTTACCCATTAAACATAACAAAAATCAAAGGAACAATAAGAAATGTCGAAAAACACCATAAAATGTTGATAAAAATAAGCCAGACTTGGAACCAACAACACAAAAACAAATTCAAACTAACAATGAAAATTCGTGAAAATAAAACCAAGAAACAACTAAAATGTTACTCAAATCAACGTAGAAAGATCTACGAACTAAAACGTACCAAAAAGAAAATAAGAGAAAAAAAAAACCTGATTCATCTTATGAATGTTGACCCAAATGTAGTGAAGATGGATCCAATCCTTATCCACCACATCAAATTCATAGTCTTATTTGTGTCATAAGCTCGTGATCACTCTTCGTTAGCTAGCTATAAATATACATATAACTTAGCTACCACGATGAGGTAATTAATGATCAATAGGGTGGTCGTCCCGTTGACCAATAAGACTGATTATCATGTTGTGGTAACCCTTGATGAGCCGGACCAAGAAGATTAGGTGGTAACCCTTGATGAGCCGACATAGCTTGTTGCTGATGTGGCAGTTGTCCTCCCAACATCGGCGGTGGGTCCATTGATCCTCCTCCTCCTCCGTGAACCGGTGTTTGCATCTCATCTTCCTCTAAGGGAAGTCTCTCGTACGCCGCATTGCTAAAAGACGCTGCCATAACCACAACAGGACCAGCACATAGCAAAGGACCCACCACGCTTCCTCCAACAACCTGTCCTTGTCCTCCGGCTAGGTAAACGCTCAACCCGGTGGCGTTAGGAGGAGCCGGAGGAGGGAGAAAAGAGCCAGAGAGAGAGAGAATCTCGAACCTCCCGTGAAGGCTAACAACGGAGCCAGGAGAAGGAGATCCAGGCTGACGTATGGTGACGTTCATGACGTTTCCAGTACCGCTCATAACGCAAACGCCGCGTTGGCGTCTTCTTGCGAAAGTGGCCACGCTCTCGACTAGATCGCAGCCGTCACCGATCTCCATCACGTGGGTTCGAAGCGCGTTTGCGCTGTCCCGCGTGATGATAATCGGTGGTTTTGGTTTGTTCTTGGAACCAGCTGGTCTACCTCTTGGTCTTCTTGTCATCTGGTCTCCTCCTGAGCCGCCACCGCCACCACCGCCGCTTCCTCCTTCTCCTAAGTTCATGTCCTTACCTTCGCTACCACTGTTGTTAGCCATGTTGTCCATGTTGTCGCTTGTCTCTTCACGATCCATCTTGATTTGTCTGTTTAGTCCACCTCCTTGGTGATCATCTTGGTCGGTTTGGTTTCTTTGTTGCTGGTGATGATGGAGGAAGAACTCTTGTTGCTGTTGTTGTTGTTGGAGATGTAACTGAAAGTCTCTTGAGTGGAAAGTTGAAGGGAGTGAGCTTTGTGATCCATGAGGTTGCACTGGATCCATGTTTTATGATTCGATGGGGTGGAAACTGGATCAAGAGAATGAAGAGGAGACTAGTTATGGATCTAAGAGCTCAGATCTTGAAGTTGACCTTTTTTTGTCTTGTTTTGCTGTCTGAAACTAGAAGGAAGAGAGTAGTAATGATGCACAACGATATCCAAGCTGGACCTTCTTCATCTTCGTCTCTGATCTTCCTTCTAGTTTTGTAGGGCTTCTCTCTCTACCTACTTTTGCTGTAGCTAGCCTCTCTCTCTCTCTCTTGTGAGTTGGATGAAGTGAAATTTGGAAAGTGAAAAAGGGTTTTTGTTTAAAACTAATTGAGTTGTGTGTGAGAGTCTTAATTAGCTTTGGTTTTGTGATTGGAAAGCTAGGGTTAAATAAATATATGAGTCTTTTGTTATTATTGTGCTTATGAATTTTTGACTGTGACTTCCTTCCTTCTATGTCTGGGCAGTGTTTTAGGTCCCCACTTCCTCGCTCTTTTGTACTAACCTTAATTTTTTTATTTTTTGTAAACTAACCTTAAAATTTCTTCACATAGTAATTATCCAATTCCAACCAATCAAAAATATTTGATAGGAAAAAAATGATGTATTGTTTGGATTGAAAAGTTTGGGATCCCTCGAATTGTTATTTCAATCAGTTAGTTCAAAACATACAAATATATGAGTTGAGGTTCCATTGGCCATTACAATTAACATGATGGATTACATATACGTTAGATGCAAAAAGATTCCAATGGTTCAAACCTTTTCATTATCAGGCAGAAGCACAGCTAGTCTCAGTTAAAGAAGACATTAAAAATAGATGGTAATCTAAAACTGATGATTAAATAATTTGGGATGCTCCATATTAACACAAAGCATTACAATGATTCATTGAGTACACCTTCTACATTATTACATGTGTTGGTTGAAGAAGTATTAATTATTGTTATCTGATTAGTATATATATATATATATATATATATATATATATATATACCAACAAACAAATTAACTAACAACTAGCTCATTTAAATGATAAGTACAACAACTATCAATCACATATATGGTATTATGTTGGAAAGAGTCTGTTAACAAATGATTGACTAGTATTGTTAATATATAATGAAATGTCCTTGTGTTGATGATTATTATCTTAATACTTTAAAATGTCCTGCAGAAAATAGCTGCATATCAACAATGTTACTCTTACTTGTCGATCATCACGGTTATAAAATCTAGTGTTGTGCGTTGAATAGAAATTGGTCTATGTTTAAAAGTGTAGCATTTACTTAGTTGATAGTCAAACGATCCTTTTGTCAATATCATCTTAGATCTAAAAGTGATTGTTTATATAAATATGTGAATACTTTATCTTTTTCATAAACTAATATTTTGTGAATACAGGCACACATGTATAGAGATAAAGATTAAGCATTGGAGTGAGTGGAATAACAAGAAGGCGCGAAGAAATCGCTGACACTTCCAAAACCACGAGAGAGAGAGAGTAAAGGAAACGAAGAAGAAGATAAAGAGAAGAGAGGCATCGCATGAACTGTTGGCAGAGAGATAAACACAAACTCCAAAGTCTTAAAGAGATGCTCTTTGTCGGCTC